GTCGGACGATCGATCTACGACGACTCGGCCTGATTGATCCCCGGTCTGGTTGTGGCCCATGGCGTGCCACTCTCTCGCGACGTGACGATGGTTTCGCCCATCTCTCGGAACGGGAGGCCACGGCCCGGGACGAGCAACCAAGATGGGAGATTGCTTGCAAGAACGGAACAAAACAACAATGCAACTTATCACGAGGTCGTTTCAACTGGAATGGGAAAACTGGTTTCGCTGGGAGCTGAAGTATACGGGAGATGGGGGATCAATCGTTATCTTTAGTGCCGAATGTGGCTTTCGCGCGCACGCACGGCATGCATCCACGCACAAAGAAAAGTGCCGCCTTGCGTTTGCTGCAGTGGTGGTGGGGCTCTTAGACCTTGCGTTGCAAACCAAGGTGGCCGGGGCTGTCCTTCGCGACGCCACTGGCCTGCCAGAGACGCTGCAAGAAACTACGCTTGGATTAGCGGACCTTCTAGCCGTGTAGTACACTGGCATCAAACCTCCAATGTAGTAGCGGGGACTCGGAACTGCAATGAGGTCCGACGGACTTGACCCAGATGACCACATTAGGATTGTTGACGGTTGGGGAAGTCTTGCGCATGCCAGGCCTGCTAATGTGGTGGATGCTATGATGCAGCAGCCTCGAGACCACGCGTTTTCTGCTGTGGGCTGCCACACACAGAAAGCAACGCGGCTGCCACGGCACAACGGTCCAACCCTTCACGCTCTCGCTTCTTCATTAGACGCCCACCCCCTAACACGAATGCGAACGTGCGTTGCCGTGCTGGAGCGAAGATCCGGCGGCATATGCTTTTCAAGCATGCCATATCGTCCCGCTGCACATCTGTTCTTTTTGACAGTCCCCGCGAGAGGGATCCCCAGCGAGACCGCCATAATGCAAAAGTCCTAGCCTTCTAGCAGGATGCAAGGCACGGGTGCAACAAACTCGTTGCGCCCTCCAACCACGTGATGATCCCCATCCTCCGCTTGAACCGCTGCCACCGCCGACGCAATCGTCGTCATCACTTTCGCCGCCGTCGGCCGTCGTCGCCATCGCAATCACCGCCGCCACCGTCGCAGTCGCTGCGGCCACCCTCGTCGCCGTCGCCGTTTTTGTCGTCATCACTGTCGTTATCCACCACCGTGCCTGTGGCACGTTGAGGCGTGGACGAATGCCAAGGGCTGCCTGGCAAGGTTTCTGTAGTTTTCGAAGGGGCCCCCCGTCCCCTGGTCACGCTCACCCGACTGCACCACTTCTACTGCCTGGGAGTCCCTGGGCGGCCATGGCGCCTCCCTGAGGCTCCCAAGGCTTCCATGACAGCCCAAGATCACTGCCCGAGAGGTCTTCAAGGCGCCCCAAGAGGCTTCCAAGAGGGCCGAATTTTTATAGGTAGTTGAACGATTTGGCGTTCTCGCCTTTTCGGCCTTCCGACCCTCCAAGACGGCCCCAGAAGCCCCCCAAAGACGGCCCTGAACCGAAAATCCGCGCCTTCCGCCCCAAGAGGCCCCCAGGAGGCCCCAAGAGGCGCCCAAGAGGCCCCAAGAGGCGCCCAAGAGGCCCCAAGGGACCCCCAAGAGGCCCCCAGGAGGCCCGAGAGAGGCCCCAAGAGGCTCCAAGACGGCCCCCAAGAGACCTCAAACCTGCCTGCAACAGGCCCCTGAGAGGCCTCCCACGAAATCCCATCGAACATCCAATGAGCCTTTACCTATACTTCACTACCCAAGCACGATGGCGGGACTGACCGTAGGCAGCTGGATCCGCCGCCCCCTGTTGATTCATCACAGGGGTGCCCGGCGTGCTGAATCATTTCGGTCTTGATTTTGGTTCTTTTTCCGAAAGACCTCCCCCTGGGGCTTCGGCCGATCCCGGTGGCCACCGGAAGGGCGCGAAGAGATGCACAACAGGTGGTTGCAACATGTTTTTCGGCTCCAGACGGCTCCAAGATGGCCAAGATGGCCTCCAAGTTCGCCCGAGATGGTCCAAGATGGTCTCGAAGACGGCCCAAGAGAGTCCAGGATGCCTCCAAGTTCGCACAAGAAACACCTAAGACGGCCCAAGACGGCCCAAGAGGCCTCCAAGAGGCCTCCAAGAGGCCTCCAAGACGGCCCACGAGGCCTCGAAGGGTCCTCAAGGACGGCCTGAAGAGGTCAAAATCATTGATGTTCCGTGGGTTTTTGAAGGATTTTGGCTTTGCCCCTTTTCGGCCTTCCGACGGCCCAAGACTGCCCAAGAGGCCATGCAAATCGCCCCAAGAGTGCCCCAAGAAGCATCCAAGACGGCTCCAGGACGGCCCAAGAGGCCCCCAAGACGGCCCCAAGAAGGCCCCAAGACGGCCTAAGAGGCCCCCAAGAAGCGCCAGATGGCCTGCAAGACTGCCAAGATGGCCTCCAAGGTGCCTCCAAGACGGCCAAGATAACCTCCACAAGAGGCCCCAAGAGGCGCCCAAGAGGCCCCCAAGGGCCCGCAAGAGGCCCCCAAGAGGCCTCAAACCTGCCTGCAACAGGCCCCCGAGAGGCCTCCCACGAGATCCCAACGAACATCCAATAAGCCTTTACCTATACCCCACTACCCCCAAGCACGGTGGCGGGACTGACCGTATGCAGCTGGATCCGCCGCCCCCGTTGATTCATTACAAGGGTGCCCGGCGTGCTGAATCCTTTCTGTCTTGGTGTTGGTTCTTTTTCCGAACGACCTCTTGGGGCTTCGGCCGATCCCGCTGGCCAACCGGGAGGGCGCGAAGAGATGCATAACAGGTGGTTGCAAAGGGATTTTCGGTTCCAGACGGCTCCAAGATGGCCTCCAAGATCGCCCGAGATGGTCCAAGATGGCCTCGAAGACTGCCCAAGAGAGTCCAGGATGCCTCCAAGTTCGCACAAGAAACACCTAAGACGGCCCCAGAGGCCTCCAAGAGGTCTCCAAAAATGCCGACGAAGCCTCGAAGGGTCCTCCAGGGTACCCGAAGAGGTCAAAATCATTGATGTTCCGTGGGTTTTTGAAAGATTTGGCTTTTGCTCCTTTTCGGCCCCGACGGCCCAAGACTGCCCAAGAGGCCATGAAAATCGCCCCAAGAGTGCCCCAAGAAGCCTCCAAGACGGCTCCAGGACGGCCCAAGAGGCCCTCAAGACGGCCCCAAGGAGGCCCCAAGACTGCCTAAGAGGCCCCAAGAAGCTCCAGATGGCTTCCAAGACTGCCAAGACAGCCTCCAAGACGCCTCCAAGACTGCCAAGA